TGAGCTGATTGGAAATGTCGAGAACTAAATAACGTGCGTCGAGAGTCACTCTGTTTTCCACTGATTAGCAGCGAAACTACAACTACGGCGAGTCGCGGAGATACGAAGAGGGAGAGGAGATAGGAAGCGCGAAGTTGGATCCGCTCGCGCGCGCGTAGATCGTGTCTTTTTAGCTTTCTCTCTCTACCCTGTACCGAACGGATACAGATCAGTGATTACTCGATTTCATATCGGATGCGGATTCGTTACATGCTACTCCCGAATTCTATTTTTATTTTTTTGTCAGACATTTTTTTTACTCGCCGCTGTTTGTTGTCTGATCTCGCTATCTAATAAAAGTCAACAGTAATTAGCTGTCTCCTTTCCTACTTCATTCATTCTTTTACTTTCTTTTTTTTTTGGGCATTGCCTGCTTATGGGCTCTTCATATCTACAAATAATTTTGAATTCGTAATCACATTTCACGCCACGAGAATTTAATTGTGTTTGCCTCTTACACATAAAAAGGAAGACTGTCATCTGCAAAGGAACCTCGATAGAGGTCGAGATTATAGGTTTAATTAATAAAGTAATGAGCTAATTATATTGGGTTTGGTCATAATGGGTTCCTTACCATTGAAAATGAAAACGTGCCATTCGCTTTATTTGTCAATGGCAGAGATTGGTTTGCCGCCATGCTAAGGACGGTTGATGCTGTTTGACTGAGTATTTTATATGATCAAACCATATTATAGGAATTTTTTTAATAATTTTATAACTTAGTGACATAAATACTCTAAATATATTATACGGCGTATTGAGACAAAATTGTACAGAAATTCAGTTTTTTTCCCGGTGATATGTACAAGGAGATGGCGACGCTTCAACCAAGATATATGATACTAAAACTTGATCAGTTTAACAAAACAGAAAAAGGAATAAATGTGTGTAAATCGGATCGGACCGGTCAGGTCAGATCGGAATCCAGTGAACTAGTCAACTGGCCTATATGATCAACCCCTGTAAACCAGAAAAATGACCCAGAGTGATTCAATCCAACCCGAGAGTAACCCAGTCCAATCCGATTGGTTTGGTGGATTAACCCGGTTGCCTCTTTCTTTTTTTATTTTAAATAATACTATATTTGGTCATTAATACAATACTTTATTTGACTTTTATTTTGCTCCTAAATAAAAAATCTAAATTTACTTTGTTTCTCATATTTATCCATTCTGACTAATAAACTTGAGTAGCAGGGATATTTTAGGAAAGATAACACGTATTTATTACAAATAACTAATTTAACTTATTTCTTAATTTACTCAAACTAGTCAACTATATTTAAGACCGGAGGTAGTATTTTGATGAATTTTTGTCTTTATTTTTTGGTAGTTGATAATTCTTACTTGGTGATTGAAGGAATATGGGAAAGAATATTTTGTTATCATATATCTATTTTGATATCTTGCTTGGATCAATACCTGATTTTAATAATATGAGGTTATGATTTCAATTTGTCAGAGGAATTACATAAAAGATTGGAAAGAAATTGTAAGTATATGATTATTTTATCAGTAATTCAATGTACTAAATTGATATTTAGTTCTATGATGGTTTGATGAAAATTTATATTTTTTTATTTTTTTTATTTTATCAGGTTAGCTTCGATCTAACCAGCTAACTTTTAACCCATTATCTCGACTGATTTAATTACCAATCCGGTTTTTAATATTTTGGATGCAACAATGCTTACATACACGAGTTTTTTTTTTGGGCCAATCATATACAAGTACTCCTCCGGTCCTAATTATAAGACCCAATTGATTTATTTGAGGAGATTAAGGAAGTAAGTTAAGTTGGTTATTTATAATAAATAAGTGTTGTCATTCCTAAAATATCCTTGCTAATAAGTTATTGGCTAAAAACTATTATTATTAGAAGGATTATCTTGGAAAAAAATATATAAATATAAGAGACAAATGGATTGGGGTCTTATAATTAGGACCAAATAAAAAGTCAAATGGGGTCTTATAATAAGGACGAGGAGTATATTGAATCGACTGGTCAGATCCGGAATTATAAATGGTCGAACTGTTCGGGTCCACAGTTTATTGATCATGAGCTCTGAATGATCCTATTCGTTATGTTTAACCAAGTGACATGTTTGTTGGGGAAAAAAAAAAAACCAAGTGACATGAGCTGGCCAACCTCTCCATAATTATTACTCCCTTTAAATATTATGGGTTCCAAACAAATAATGAAATCACCTTTTTGCTCTTGTCATCATCGTTATCTCACAAACTAAACAAACCCACTATTTCTCAGGAATAAGAAGAGGGAAGAAAATAAAATATCAAGTGTATTCTTCTTAATTCAAATGATGCAATAACCACATTCACCACTCATATAAATGTGGGATGTTTTGTATATTTAAATAAAATAATTATTATTGACTAATATATTCACCACATGCACAAACGAACCATAATTTTAAGAAAAACCGTAAAAAAAAAGACCACCAAAATAAAAAAATTACAAATAAGGATCCGTAGTATGTATTCTGATAACAATAATATTGGCTTTGAATAAATAAATCCTTATGGCAATGTTTTAATTTCAACGGTTTTTTTTTTTTTCATTTTCCTTAATTGCAATCGGCAGGCACCGTAATGAATGGGGTGCTGCGTTTTGTGGACCCCGTGAGAGAGAGAGAGAGAGAGAGAGAGAGATTTGTGTGTGTTGGGTACGCTGTGTTTGTTGAATGAATTAATTAATAGCAGTACATGAGCATGGAATAATGTGTCAGTTTTGGTGCCACATGGGCATTCCGCTGTCGGTGGCATTACATAATTCTCAATTTCCAATAGAGTCCTTGTCCTGATTTTATAAAAAGATCGCCCCACAGTCAAGCACACTGCATCCTTAAATAATTATTTTATAAATATAAAAAAATTAGTTAAATTAGTAATAAGTGTTATGTTTTTTAAAATATCCTTATTAATTATAGACATTGGAATTAAAACTCTTTAATACGTGGGATCATCATATAGAGATTACTTTGGGAAAAATGAGTAAGTATAAAAAATAAAGTGAATTGAAATCTTATATTTAAGATTAAATCGAACCTCTAAATAATTCTTATATTTAAGATTAGAGGTAGTATCATATAACACTGGAATTTGTTGGGGCCTCCAGGTTCGGTTTAAGGATATCAAGAAGCACAAGATTATGAGTTCAATCCTCTTGTGAGTGTGTGTGGACTCCCTCTATAAGGTGATAATTGATTTAAAAAGGGGGGGGGGGAGAGACCAAGGGATTAAAAATGCAAAGGAAAGAGTGATCACGCGAGAAAATTACCATCAGGTATGTATGGATGTAAAAGTAACATAGAAGGGCGACGTAACAGTGACATTCATTGAATGTGTCTGCCTGGGACGAGTATATTGCTCCAGAATTTGTCAGGTAGCTTCATGTGCAAGGAGGGGGCAAAAAAAAAAAAAAAAAGGAGGAAGGGCCTTTGATTCTTTGAACATGGGAGTGATAAAATTGACATGACATGAGATGATATTAAGGAAGGGGTTGTTTGATGCAATGATATACAAGAGCATCCAAGAAAGTGGTGTATACGAAGCTGGTAAGTGTCATGGCAGAACATGCACGCATGTTAGAATAGAATGGCAAGATGGGATAAAGGATGAGAGGTGTGGCTTCTTGACGGCGGCGGCGTCGTGGAGCCATGTGGTCAAATGCATCTAATAAAGTCATCAAAGAAGGGAGAGCCCTCTTGCTTGCGTGGCATTAATCAGAGCTGTGAGATGCAGTATATACTATCTCATATCTTAATTATAAAATCTTATTATAATCTTTAAATAAAATTTTATAATTCCGGTCAAAAAAAAAAAAAATTTTATAATTAGAAGGCGATGCATAAAAAATTGTAGTCATCTGTACAAGACATAGGCTCGTGAGTTCTAGAAAAGAGATGCAGGAGAAAGTTTTTTTTTTTTTGGTGACACGTGTTTTCTTTTTAGGAGGGGACGCGTTTTGTGATCATTGTCACTCTAACCCGCATCCATCATTCACTCATCACCATATCAGCACTATAACTAATTGCAAGATTATTTATAATGAATTTTATCCTTTCACAATTCTGCGTAAAGTGAGTATATTTTTCTTATCTGGTCAAAAATATATATATTTTTAATGCAATGCGAAGGAACAAGAGGTTTAAAGGCAATGAAATCTACAACGATGATATGCTAGTGCTGTGCAATGCTAGTCCCACAAGATTTTAGGGGGAGAAAGAGAAGAGAAGGAGGGTTAATGATTTTGGGGGAAAGGAATGGGAACATGACACGTTGAACACATGTGAACGAGGGGGACGCTCCCGCATCGTCTCCCTCATCTCTCTCTCTCTCTCTCTTCAGACACTCAAGTTTTTCATTTAGATATTTAGTGAATTCATTTACTAAGTCAAAATATGATGATGAGCGGACAGTTACGGGAGGAAGGGGATGGGGACACCCGACCCGAGACTAACAGGGTTGGAGGAGGGGCAGAAATGTAAAAGAGGCAGGAAAACGAGGGGCAGATGGCGAGAGGTGAGTTGACCGGAGAAGGCAGACAAGTGGAAGCAGAAGCGACAAACTCCTCTTTTACTTTACTTACTCCCAGCTCAGCGCCAGCTGTTCCTGCCCCCTCCCTCTCTCCATTCACCCCCCAGTATATACCTAATGCATGCTGCTACCGTGTAATCTTCCCCGCGACAAGAATCTCAATCCCGCGCCATGCCCTCGTTCCTTTTCATCAGCCTTCCCCTCCATTTTTTTTTTAATTTCTTTTAACTAACAACGGCTCCTCCTGCAATCCATCCATCTTTTGCTGTTAAATTAATCTTATTTTATTATAGCGGTTTTCAACTATTTTCTTAAACAACAAAAGTAGTTGAATGACCAAAAAAAAAAAATCAGCTTAATTTTCTTTCGGGTTTCCACAGTTCATCTTCTTTTTCCTCGTTCCAATTTTGATAAATACTATCCATCGAAAAATCTCGGACTTCCTTAACCTTTTACAAAGCATGGGCATTTAAGATCTATCAGCATTTGTTTACAAGACATAATGTCCCAACCAACTTTCTCGCTGTGTACGTACGAAAACCGAGCACATCATCATCCCTTCTGTTGCGTTGTTGTTGTTGTTTAGGTAGGGTGGTGCCGCTTGGAACAAAGTGTCGGTGACTTGGTGTTGCTTGCTTCTCTGTCCTGTATCTTGTCTTTTCAGGTTCCGTAAAAATATCTGAAATTGAGTGGTTTGCCTATTATATCAATATATCATGTGGGAGGGAAGGCACATTAGCATATGGCCTCTGCCTTCTCGATGCCCCAAACGATCCATGATCGGACAAATTCTGATTCCTCCTCCAAAATATGCCTTCCCTCTATGTCTGCACTTTTATACCCTTCCCCTCCCATATTTCACGTCCTCCTGTTGCATTCAGCATTTAAAAACAAAAACCAAAAGTAAGCAACCATATGGTTTATACGAGTTCCAAATCTTTTCCTGCTTTATTCGTATATCGCACGTGATTGACTTGATCCTATCAAATATTCGTCATACCCTACTGGCAAATGCCAAAAATTCTCGATCCACATGGGCGTCGGAGTATCACTGATGATGAGTGTAGCAACCGCTTGAGAGTTACGCCAAATTATGTTAGGGAATACAATACACCACATACGTATGCACACCTGAATCGGCTCGGTGTGCTGTGGGATCTGCAGTCCAAAGCACGCAACGATTGATCATAGCCAGCTGAAACTACAACAGATGCGTGCTTATTGAGCTTTACAGCATTTACCTAAATGAAAAATGATCAACCAGAAACCAAGTGACGAGGTGGTGAGCGTGAGAAGAAAACGCCCGGGTCATATAAGAAAAGTAACAAACATACCTCCCCATCATGGCCCCGAAATTTTCGAATTACACGTCCCGTAGCCACGTCCCAGTAAAAGATCTGTCGATCCCCACCGCATGAACATAACTTGGAGTTGTCCCTATGGTAAATGACGATGTTAGCATTCGAGACGGACAATGGGGTGAGAAGCAACGTGAAATAGATGGCATGTAGTCGTAATTACGTTTTCAATTTCCTCTCGTCATCTAATGAAGAGCTATATTCATACATGGACTTCAGGAACATGTTTAAAATGCATACAAGTATAACACCAGGACCACCGGCCGCAGCTCCCCGGGACTCGCATCAGTGAACTTCTAGGACAAGGCACTATTAAGAAAAACAGGAGTTAAAGGATCATTTTGTTTCTTCTACTTAAACTTACCTATGTTTGTGCTCCTAAATCACAACATTCATAATTCCCCTGTGGATGTTCAAAAGACTACTGCAGCATTCCATGATAGGCTGGTTTTCAGGTCAGCTAACGTACCCAGTACCACGATGTCGATTGACAGACTGGAAAGCTTCATCCTAGAGCAGATATAAAGAGAGGGTGGGAATAAGAAGGTACAAGGTGACATGGACATCGCGGACTTCACGGCCGTGGGATTTGTAGGGGGCCTTGATGCGAATGCCACGGTGGGGATTCCAGAGACGGCTGGTACGGTCTTTGCCGCAACTCAAGCAATAATTACGTTAACCTCCTTCCGCCACGCTCATTTTTGGCTCCGAAAACGGTTCCAGTATAGGAGGGAAGGACGGCTGAACCGAGTATCCAAAAGTGAACAGCTTTCGGCCTGACGAAGGAACCAGATTCTTTCACGTCGTTTGTCGCTGCCATAAAACGCAGGCTCTATACCTGCAATCTACGCCGCATTGGGTGCAGATTTATAATAATAATAATACGCTGTATAAAAAAGAAACAACTAGATTTACCGTGGATTATAACTAATACATCTGATTGCGCATTTTTGTGAGATCGAGAGGCTGTTTGAATTAGTTTTCTAAAAGCAATTTAAGAGTTTAAAATAAATATGCGAAATTTTTTTTATCTTAACTTGTTAAGTGCTTATAAGGATGCCAAACTCTCCCTTCACCGACCAAGAGTTTCTCTTCATTGTAACCCCGGGCGGTCCTCCGCATTGATCTGAAAACGCGAACATACAAACTACACAGCTTATCCAGGGATACCTCGTAAGATCGAAGCGTCAAACAACCAATTACCATTTGAGGGTCATACGTGCCACACTCTTAGCCAATGATATCTTTTATTCAGGTATATAAATCAGCATTTAATGATGCAGCCCTGGGATACACTTGAGAGGACAAGAACCATACTTTAACAAAGGGCAACTCGATCGAGACTCTGAAGTGAAGATCCCTCAATTTGAGAAGGGAAATATTTATCATTCAATGTTCTTGTAAAAATACAAAGAAACTGGAAAAAAGAAAAGAGAATGACACTTAAACCGCCCTCCCCCCAAAAAACCGAAATGTAATAAAAGAATAAATGGAAAACCCACTATTATAGGTAACAATATGTCAGCCTTCGTTCCACTTTATCTACAAATCCCAAAAGTACAACTTGCATCCAAAAATTCATGCAACACCACCACGCGTGTTGGTATCTAGTGAAATTGCTTCTTCCACCAAGCAAGGCAGCCAGGCGCAGTCCAGCTGAAACACTTCTTCAGCCGTTTATTTATGAATCTTCACAATTCAATCCACAAATTTCTAACACAGGTCCGTCTCTCGAAACAAATGGGTTGATTCGAACCCACATAAGAGTTAAGATGGAAGCCAGCAGGATTGACCAGACCAACACTATAGTCGGCATCCGGTCTTGCTTTCCCAGCAAACCCTTCAGGAATGGGTACAGATGGAGGATGACCCAGAGGGCAAAGAATAACCTTCCGAAGAGGGGACCCCATGAGTCATACCCATTGTTTATGGCATCTGAGACACCAACCACAACCCCGACAATATTTATGATCAATAATGTAGTAGGAGGGATTAAGAGTGAAGTCCACTTGAAGATGTAGAGCTCTGAAAATTCTCCATCATCAGCAGCTTTCGATGTAACAGTGAAATTTGTGTCCACACCAGCCAAACCTTCAGTAAACCCTGGAAGAGTGCAAAAAGATGAGAAGAAACACCTCCAATAACCCAGAATTGTTCATTTCTCCACCAATCATCTATGCCGACACCACCCCACTGCATCTCAAGAATACCAGTTGCTGCAATGGATATGAAGAGGGCCATGAAGATAAGACTTGCATAATTGCTAATCTGCAAGTTAAGATACATAGAAAGTGTTAGTAACCACATCACCCTTTTAGCTTTTATTTGAAGACCAAAAAGCTTGAAAGCATCTCTTGTTTTTAACAACAGAATTAGTAATTAGTAAATAATGAAATACAAAGCAATACCTCAGGCACTATAAATTTTCCGGTCAAAAGGCATATAGCTGGTAGAGTACAGTAAACAAGCAACGGAAGGGAAGTCCATGGATACACAACGGAATTGATATAAGAAAATCGCTCCAACCAGTTTAACCCACCACCATAGCCATACCAGACCGGGCAATGTTTGCTCAAGAAAATCTCAACTGAACCAAGGGCCCATCGAAGAACCTGGTGTAGACGGTCTGAGAGGTTGATGGGAGCTGATCCCTTAAATGCAGGCCGCTTGGGGATGCAATAAACAGATCTCCAACCATGGCAATGCATTTTAAATCCAGTCAAGATATCTTCTGTGACCGAACCATAAATCCAACCAACCTGATGATGCATAAAAAATTGTTAGGAAATAGAAAGATTGATTAAAAAATGCAAACGTTTTTTATTTACTCTTTTAAGCATACCTCTTTTCCCCATTCAGTTTTGTCTTCATAACCACAGCTGATGACCTGGATCGCTTCTTTCAAAAGAGATGCATGACTCACAGTTGGTGGAAGTCCACCGTTTTCCAAAAGGGTGGAAGCAACAAACACAGGAGACTGCCCAAATCTCTTCTCCAGCTTCATTTGATTGAGATCAGATGTGCTCCCCTCCTTGACTCCTGCAAAAGAAACTCCATTAGCATCTCACAATTTTGTACCGCATGCATATTTTGATACAGAGGACGGCCATCATAATGATTAATATTAACCTTCAGTTCCTTCAATATTTTCAAGTGCATGAATCTGCTTTGACGCATCCCCTAGCTTGACCTTCTTTGTCCTCGTTTTGGACTTCCCATTCTTTTTCTTTCTAAAGCAGCAGCAAAGGCAGCAGCACCATTTTGGCCAGCAGTTGCATGTTTTGCTAGGCCGCTTCTTCTTGGCAGGTGCGTCATATCCATACAGTGCTTGCCTTCTGAAAACACACCCAGTTCCAACATAAATTGGTCCTTGCAAGCCATCCAGTCCTTTCATGTTGATCTGTTTTCAATTGGAAAATTAGTGATTTCCAAAATAAATAGGTAAAGAAAATAGTGAAACAGGAAATGCAACAGGAAATATAGAACTTACATCAAAAAATACAACATTTCTGTTAGAGTATCGGTCATGGCGATCAATTCCATCAAATCTCTGAGGGAATTGCACGTAGCATACTTTTTTCCCAGACTGAGGGTCCATCATAAAACACATAGCTTCTCTAAGCGCCTTGCTGTTGTTAATGTAGTGATCACAATCAACATTCAAAAGATAAGGTGCATTTGAGAGGATTGCTGACACTCGTACCTTCACATATTGTAGTTACAAAAACACGTCATCCAAGGTACTAGATCATCAACTGCACGAGGTCAAGAATGAAAATAATTTGATACTTACAAGAGCATTCATAGCCCCAGCCTTCTTGTGATGATCAAATCCTGGTCTCTTTTCTCGTGAAACATAAATCAAACGAGGCAGCTCATTGCCTTCAACATCAGGAACACCATCCTGACCGAGGAATACCTGTTAAAAAAAAAAAACCCAAACAGAACATTAGTTTCACGTCCAGCTTCTCGAATAGCATGGAAACAAGAATTGAAATGCTACGTGTGAAGATTTCTTAGGCAAGTCTGATTGCAAATCATCCTTGCAGAATAAAAAATTTAACCGAGTCAGAACTTCTAAGGAAAGGATTTCATGAAGGCAAAAAGGGGCTCTACCAATTACCAGACCTCTCTTGCAACATACATGAAGACAAACAAAAATGACTACATGATACGATATAATCCATGAAACGGAAGGGTGATCAACAAATTGCCAGCCAACAATTTTAGCAAACCATTATAATAAATAAATAAGATTGCATCAGTTAAAATGATACATCACATTACCTGAATCATGCCAGGATGATCTCTAACGTTGTTTCCAGGCCATGGAGTCCCATCCTGCATGGTCCATCCATCTTCAGGAACTTTCTGTGCTGTTGCCACCAAACTGTTTATCCGTACCTTGAATTCTTCATAGTCTCTCTGCAAAACACATGGAAAAACACAACCATGAGTGCCAAATGTTTTCGTCTTATTTGTGAAAAATTAAGCATTTAAGAAAAGAGACGAGTAGTAATTTAAAACCTTCATTGCTCTCCTTTCCCTGACAAATGCTGGATGTACTTTATTTTTCAGATAATCAATCTTCTGATTAAAATACCATTCTGGGGCCCGGGGTTCAATATTGTATTTCTTAGAAAACGGGACCCATTTTCTGGCAAATTCAGATGTCTCAGAAAGTGCTTCAAACGTGAGCATGGCAGCACCATCATCAGAGACATAGCAAGCAACTTTATCAACGGGATAATCAACAGCAAGGATCGAAAGCACAGTGTTTGCAGTTATTAGCGGAGGTTCTTTCATGGGATCAACAGTACTAACAAAGATGTCTACACTAGACAATTCAGATGGCTTTCCCTCTTTTTCATACCTGCAGCCATTTCAGAAGCCAATACTGAGAAAACATTCCACAATTGAGCATAAAGAAATGGATCGACATGTAAAACATAAACAAGGTTAAGACGCATGTGGTGCCTTAAATACCTAAGTGACAGCCGATCAAGGTATGTTTCACGCTGTATTGGATACCATTTTGGAAACTGATCCATTATCCATGACACAGCAAACCATATTTCACATATGACTGATGTCAACCACAGGGCATATGCATCATTGACTGGATGGAGAATTCTATAATGGAAAAAAAGCCCCAGAATCACAAGACGGAGCATTATAATCATTCTGTATGGATTTATCTTGCTTGAAGGGATCGGAAGTTTCCGTGATAGTGGCTGCCTGCCTTCATCCATCCTGATAAAATACATTGTGAAAATCTTAGTAGCAGACAAATAAATTAAATGACAAGAACAGGTGGCAGAGCATTAGAAAACTAAATTATAATTCTAATGAACATTTACATAATCCAATGCCACCTAACCATTAACAAAGGTAATAACAAGTTCGAGCGCTAAAATGCTGGTTTGGAACAACTAAAGAATGGATGTAAATAGATGCCCAGTGCCTACAAAAATATCTCAAGGCAAAATGGTTACGCCTTTTTACTACAGAAGAAGCCACCATAAGTTTCAAAGCCAATCATGTAGTATATTCAGAACCATACATAGGCAAATCAGAGTCATCCAAGTCATCACCGAAGT